TTGTAAAACAAGATACTATGCTTAGGATTTTGTTAGTTCCAATTTTATCCGTCTGCAAAAATAAGTTGGTGAATTTTTTTTACGATAATTTTTATTGTTGTTTTTTTTTTGTAACGCATATTCTAGAGAATTGTATCGAATTGTAAAAAAACACATATATCGATTTTTATCGTTCTATTTCGATAGGAATTACCAGAAGTTAATTTATTTGGTAGCTAATTACACTGTACTTAGATTGTGAGCATAATATTATTATTAATAAAAATATTGAATACGTATTAAATGTCGATTTTGGTCCTTTATTGGTCCTTGTTCCTTTTTTCTTTAAAAATTCCCTGTAGTTTTCCTAAGCACTGAATTAAGTAGCCCAGAGTCAGAGAACAGTCCCAGATTCTCCCGGGCACAGGCCCAGTGTATAGCATAAGCTCAGCGCTCTTTTAGATGGGATTCATATCATGAAAAAAGTAGGTGTTACATTGTAAATCTTGAGCAACCTATCACTTCCAAGAGGACTGAAAGGCTAAACTTCAAGGTGCAAAAATGCTAAACTTCATTTAATACCTAAATTATCCTGCTAACATTTAGGCCTAATGCCGATACGGAGCCGCGGACAACTTCACAGGTTATTGTGGCTCCGGTTCGACGTTCAAGAGTAGGAACAGGGTGGTTTTTATTTATTTATTTATTTATTTATTTATGGATAGGAAAACCAACAGCTACACATGGCAAACAAACAGATATTATAATAACACCAGAAAGCCAATTACAGGTTTTCACGGATAGATTTCAAATTATTCAATTAAAAAAACACTCACAGTCCAAACAAATTACATTTAGGGAAAGAAAATAATAATTAAAAAAAACAAAACAACAAGAGCATTTAGTCAGTAAGAGTCTTACAGTCCCTCCCGCCTCACCCAGGAGGGACTAGTCATTTGATGATTTTCCCCCTTTAAGAAAATCCTACTAATATTACCTATACATATACCTAAATGCGAAAGTTGTTTGTTTGTACCTCCTTTACTCCAAAATGGTTGGATGATGATATTTAGAACAGGGGTGGAATACATAAGCCACTTTTTATCCTTCAGGAATACGAGTAAAGCCGCTGGCGTTTGCTAGTTAAAATATAAATAATAAATGTATATTAACTAAAAATCGCGGGTTAAGCTCTACTAGTTTCGAACCACAGAGGGGTTCTTCCTCATGAGCAGCGTGCGCGCTTCGCGATTTTTAGTTAATTTAGTATGTCTCACGATAGTTATTATAAAAATAAATGTATTACTTTCATTGGCTATTTCCTAGTAATCTGATTAAAAAGGAACGATTCTGTTGATAAATAATTATAAACACAGTATAATTATAAACAAGATAATATATATTACCTCACGAAATGCTAAAAATATAATTGATAAAATAATTTAAATGCCCGAAGCTAACGCCATCTATTCTTGCATATTGGAACTTCTTTCTATTGTTGTATGCTAAACATAGACGCCGGTAAAGTGCGATACGGGTACGAAAACCTTTGTATCTAAACACATAGATGGCGTTATGTTATAACATTACGTACTGAAGGACCTATAAATATTTTACTTATGCGTCTGTAGATGGCGCTGTATTAAATTTACAAAATAATTTTATACCTACTAAAAGCATTTTCATTAAAAAATAAGTTACTTAGTTTTTGACTGTATATTCCAGAATTTGAAATAAATAATCAAAGATTTAGTATATGAATTGATAATAATAATTAGTGGCACATCATAAACTTAATAAATAAGTAATACAAACTTCTTATACGATGTAATTAGATGACTTTTTTACCAGCTAGAAGAGATTTAGGACCAAATAAAACAACATTAATTACATTTTTTTGGCACTATATTACTAAACACATAAATGAGTAGTATACGATGACAGTAGGAAATCCTGAATAATAGGAATATCAGAAAGGATAGAACTAGTCTATCACATCAATTACTACATTTTAAACAGGTAGTTGCCTACTATTTGTATCAGCATCTTCAGCCTGTTTACGTCTCTTCCTAAACTCTAATACTGCTTCTTCAATAACACACCACTGAGCTTGATCTTCAGCGCTTTTTTTTAACCAATCGGTAGAAAACAAACTTTCTAAATCAACAATTTTCAAATTAATGATAGATGATTCTGACACTATTATAATAGCAGAGCTGAGGCCCTGTATGGCTGTATAGTAAAGGCAACTACCCATTTTTGATAAATAAGTACATATAAATACATAGACATTAAATTAGAGACATCAGAACACTTACTGCCAATAATGGGTTCAATAAATGAGGTTTTAAAGTAGTTGTTGTGAATATTTTAGAGTTCAATATTAGATTATAATTGTGTGATCCGAAAATTGTTTTATTCTGGTTTTGGTGTGCGTTTGGACATCTTTGTGTAGGTCTTTATTTTACTTTATAACTAGAAAAAGCACTTCTGAAAGCTTTTGTATTCTATGGATTATCTTGAATAGGTAGTGTAGACACCATGTCATCAGTAAATATTACAATGTCTGTATGTCGTATAAAATACTGATTATTATCTATCCAAGCATTTCCCCCGCGTGTTTTGTTGTGCCTACCGTGATTTTCCGGGATAAAAATTACATTGTTTTTATGTCCAAGCTTATTTGAAACTTAGGACATACACATAGTGTCCCTTTTCTTTTGCCCAATCTCTGTGATGGTACCTTTTCTAAACAATCTGTCATGCTCCACTTGAAATAAAATTTATTAATTTGCATTCATTCAAATGATTTTGATTTCTATTTTATAAGCAATACGGATGACCTTGATAGCAAATGTAATGTTGTTCAATTCTGTAGTTATCATATGTTTTATTACTGAAGCGATAAGTATCAAAATCGGTTGATTTAACTGCAGATAGATTTGGTAATTTTATTTCAAATGGATAGTACTTAAAACTAGCAATATCATAGAGAACATGATATGATAAATAAATAACAATATTCTAGACAAATACTTAAGTCTAATGATTAGACTCATTCGTTAATAACCAGTAGGTAGGAAAGAAAACACGACAGTTGATAAAGTATGGTGTGTAAGCTTGTGTTCTATCCCGGTTGAACTGCCCGACTCAATTTTCATAAAATGAGCTAAGTTCTATCACCGTACAAAATAAGGATAAAACAGTTCGTCCAGATATTGGTTTTCGGTCCTTTGGCCCAAAAATACTGCTTATATCGGAATGAGCCTACAGGCTACTACAATATCTTACCAATAAAATTGTTTATAAATACTGGTAATATCAATTTATTTGGTATGATATAGAAACTCATCTACTAAATATATGCAGCTACACAAAACCATTTTATCATGATCTCATTTAGTATGATCGTTTTTCACATACGACGTTCAGTTTATTTTGGTTTTGCATAGCGTGATGTAGTTGTGTGAGAGATATTTAAATGTTTGTGATTATGTGCATTGTTTTTATTCGATTTTGACACTTTTGTTCTTGTTACAAGGTTTTTTTCAGTTTGGTAACAAGTTTGGCACGAAACATTAAACTGTAGGTATAAATTGTTTTCTAAAAGGGTGTTACTGACAATTGATGAATGAAATCGATTTCAGATCTTCATCGATTCAGGTTTGCGTTATAATAATATCAACTTTATACCGTTTGCTTTACAGTCCATATTAGACTGTTCAATTCTCCTGTCTTAGTTTTGGTTTCAAGGAAAACACATTTGACAAGTTATTCTAAACTTTCACTGGAGCGTTTAGACGAAGGTAATTTCAAAACCAGTATAATTTGATTTATCAAGTTAATTTATACTGGACAATGTACCAGGTCTGCGCGGTCAATCAAAGTATTGCCAAAGTGCTCATCAGATTTCCAAAAGGCCAATCAACAACGTGATGGACTGGCTCATGTAATTTTATTGGTAGTTATTTTTTTAATAGCTAATCACGTCTGAGACTCTGTCCTTAATTGATTTCCTTTTAAAAACCAGATGTGGGCTAGATAGAGACAAAATAGCTATGGAAAAAGTGATTCTGTATCTATCTAGTAGGATTCTTGATCACTTGAGACGCCCACAAAAATTGGAGATGCAACATCAGACAAAAGTTTGAGATCGTTTCATACTGAATGTCAAATTCTACAATGGAGTGTTTCATTTCTCTTGATGGCGTTATGGTACAACTTTACAAGATTGTAACTGTCATTCAAGATTATGCAAAGCTAGTTACTGTAAATTACTGCGCGCCTTAACTCGTCGAGTACCGGTTTTGTAGACACAATTATAGAACAATAGGTTGCGGTCACCGGTGACCGCTTGGTGTTTGACAGTTTAAAGATCAAATCACCACAGATGAGGTGGTGCGTCAGATCACCACAGTGGTGCCAAAACTGGAGCTGCGGACAACCTTGCAGCTTACCGGAGCTCCAGCTCCAAGCAGGAGTTGAATTTGGATGGTTTTTAGTCAATAGGAGTCTGATACTCTTTCTCTCGCTTCACCCAGGGCGAGAGGGGTCTTTGGATAATTTCCCCCCTCAACGTACGGTCCCTGTAAGTTGATGCCTAGATTCGGCTCCTTTTTCTATACCCAACTATTCAGTAGAATGTAAACTCGAAACTCAAGCCCCATCGCATGTCCCGAGTTATCAATATCTCTTTGCCATCGAATCCGAATTGGTTCAATATTAGTCCGTGCAATTAACAAAAATACAATAGGACCATTGGAAACCTATTAATGTTTGCTTAAGTTATTAGCGACCGATCATAATAACTTCTCTGTCTATGAAAGAGAAAAACAGAAATTTTGATATTTAAAAAATAATGTACAGTTGATATTATGACAAGACGGTTAGTGCGGTGGCTGGGCAACCGGCCGCCACGCAACGTGTTGCAGGTTCGATTCCCGCACGGAGCAACTCTTTGTGTGATCCACAAATTGTTGTTCCGGGTCTGGGTGTTATGTGTATGTGAACTTGTATGTTTGTAAACGCACCCACGACACAGGAGGAAATACTAGTGTGGGGCTACGTTTAAAAAAATATTCAGACGTTATCCAAAATATCAAGACCAACCTAGACGATTGACAAACTTCATAAAAAAATAATCAATTTTGGCTCTTCAGACGAGATAAGCAGTTGCCAGAGTTTATCCGTTTATCTCGCCTGAAAAAAAAGCGACTAGCGTCCATATAAACCCATTAAAACGGAAAAAAGAAATGGAGTCGGCATGTCACAAGATGTGCAACTCTCCAAAGTCCTAATAGCAACGACATCTCATCTAATTAAAACCAAATCAGCTGATTGGAGCTATCAATAACTTTTGGCTCCTAATAGCCAAATCTACAGACAGATAAGTCATTGTGACTGGTCTTATGAGACGATGGCAAATGTCTCTCAGTGGTCACCATCTGGTCCAAACGAAAAACAAAAGGAGGTTAATTAAAAACGGCCCCTTCCGTGCAGCTTGTACAACAACTCCTCAAGCTGCTTACTCACAACAAAGAACTCTTGTTTGCCTCTGAAGAGGGTATCAACCTCTCGCTTACACTCCTCCTGAGTGATATTCCTCTGGAGATTATAGTAGTTACGAATGAAATTAGTCAACTCCACTCTCTCCTTTTGCAGAGTCTGCAGCTTGGCATGCTTCTCTTGCAGCTCTTCATAGATCTTCTTCATCTCTTCATCAGCGTTATCTGGCAAGAAGACCAGGTTCTTCAGTTTGTGCAGAAACTCGTCCTGTTTCTTGTCGTGTGGTGGCAGGACTTCTTCCAGCTGTTCCCGTAGGAATGCCATGTAGTCATTACAGTTGGTGATCATCACTCCGTACTGGTCCAGCTCTTCGATTGGCTCCTCATATGGAGTTTCTTCATTTAGCTTCACCATCTTGGCTGGTTCTGGAAAAATAGAGAAATATTTAGTTAGTTTTGGTTGTACATTTAAAGGAAGATGTAGAAGAGAATAGGGCTGATTTATAAGTGATAGGTAATCGAAGCTTTTATAGAAATAACATTACAAATATATGTATGTAGTAATAACACTTCATTCTGTCGCATCTTAAATAGCAGGAGCAAACAAGTTAATACGCAAAGTATACCAATAGATGGCGCTACACGTCCGGTAGATGGCAAAATAGGATAACAGGCTATAAGTGACCACTGCTGAGCAAAGCCTCTTCTCACATGGAGAAGGTTTAAGCATTAATCACCATGCTTGCACAATGCGAGTTGGCGATTTCAAACTTATAATTATAAATTATAAGCCCAGGTTTGCTCACGATGTTTTTCTTAACCATTTGTCAGTGGTGTCTAAATAATCTTATAAAATACAATAACTCGGAAAAGGTCACATTGGTTCTTGCTGTTGGTAGGTTTCGAATCCGCACTCTCATGTACGACGAGCGGTCGTCTTAAACCTCCGGACCACCACGACATCGACAAGACGAATAGGATACTGGTGAGTTGCATACCATAAGGTCCAGGTTGAGAAATTTTATTTATGGGGTCGTAGGAAGCAAACGTGCTGACATGATCTGTTTATTGGTAAACGATCATCGCTGCCAAAAATCATAAATATCAAAAAAGGTAAAATTTGAATAAGTACAATCGACTCACAATAGAAATGATATTTAGCTCGATTCGAAAATCTTATCCTGAAACCTCGAATCGACACTTTCCATTGAAAGTGTTTTTATCATAATTATTCATTAATAATTATGATAAACAAATATATTTATTGCTACTAAACGTTTTGTATGTGGGTGCTTTAATTTATAACGAATCACGAATCAATGTTCTTCAAAGAAGGAAATGAGTGCTCAGTAGCTAAAAATACCTCAATAAACAATGAAATTTTCCAGAACCATGATCATCAGAACGTTAAAAAAAAACGACAATGTCGTTGAATTAAAAAAGAAAAACGGACGCGACGCTTAATCCTCTTAATTGGCCCAGTAACTCTCTATCTCTGATTCCTCACTTCCAATTCAAACAAAAAAGAACATTACTGTAACGTAAATAGAGTCAATTTTCGAATGAACATTACTGACATAAAATATCAAGCAAGCACACTGAAAACTGTGCTCTATTAGTTTACAACAAAGGTAACATTTTATAAACGTTTCTGTTACAGTACATTTCCGTCCTGACATAACGTTATTTAAGTACAAAATTATACCGAATACAGCCACCGAAGCTTTCAAAGGAAAGTAGACTTTAATATCCTGCCCATCAAAGTTGATTTTCCTGAAAACTCTGTAGCTACAACTCACTTAATGGAAATTGACCCGTACACTCTAGACATTAAAATACAATTTTCCAGGAACTTATTAATCAGTACAGGTATATTTCAGTATACTGCAAAACTGCAGGGCGTTGCATAAAATCGATATTCATGGCGCATGCGTGTCGCGATGGTCTAAAATGTGCCGTACACGTGTTTTAGGCCCAGATGTAAGATAAAGGTAAAATGTTTATAAAGTTATATTTTTTTCCTAAAGCCCCTGCCCGCCAACGAATCAAAACAATAAACCAAAAAGTACCTCTGCGGAAAATTACGATCTCACATTTTTGAGACAAAACTTGATCCTTATTAATTACATAACATCACGCCTTTTATCCCCGAAGGGGTAGGTAGAAGTGCACATTATGGCACTTAATGCTACTGTACAATGTAACACCCACTTTTCACTATTTACGTTATGAGTCTCATGTAATAAGGGGTGAGCCTATTGCCACAATTCCAGACTCCGTGTTATTACTGAGAATTTTTTTTAAACCCAGTAGTACTTTGCCCTACCCGGGAATTGAACCCGAGACCCCTTTTTATTTATTTTTTTTAAGGGGGGAAAATCATCAAATGATAGGCGGGAGCACCTGGGTGAGGCGTTAGGTTCTCCACTCGAGACCCCTTACGACCACTCGGACAAGGAGGCAGTCCTTATTAATTAATGTTGGCTAAATAACGTGAATTTCAAGTTATGTATAAACTACGATGGTATAGAGTGTGTCCTTCCACCCCTACCCGTCCGGTAACAGGACAACTAAAGGATTATATGTACATTTGATCGACTTTTGAATTCGTTTAAACTACGATCTCTAACTAATATGTATATATATTAGAGCCATGATTCAATTGTAGTTACCTACATAGTTTCCCGGAAAATCAATCTTAATGAGCAGGAAATTAAGTCGAATTTCCTTTGAAAGATTTTCCCATAGAGGTACAATTTTGATCTTAATTTTGTGAGTTTCCAGCTTTACATACATACATGCATAACTTCAGGCCTGTCTTCCATGGGGCTAGGCAGAGACTATGGAACGCCAATTACTACGATTCCTACATAATACATACCTCTTTCGCTTCATCAACAGTCATCAATCTTTTTATACATGCTCGTCGGTTAAGGGTACTTTTAATTTGGCCTTTCTTTAATATATCGCCAATCTGGTCAATATATATATCCGTGTAGGGCGTCCTCTACCGACGGCCTCATTCATATCCGCTCAGTATATTTCTTTCGTAACTCTACTCTACCTATCTCTATTCCAGCTTCAGATGACTATATTCCAGGCTGTGAAATAACGCGCTAATGTCTTTCAGGCATTATGAACTATTTCATAAATATATAAAATAAGATAAATAATATATATAAAGCTTAATATATATTATTTATCTTATTATATATTCTATAGAGTATTTGGATATTTCTTGTTTGTATATGTATTTTGTTTATTATTGTTATTTTAATATTTGCTGCAATATCGCATTGGGTCTAGCCTGTAAGGATATTTGTATGTTATGTGTGTAAATAAATAAATAAATAAAATAAATAAATATTTGCCTAAATTATAAGTTAGCAACACCCTATACATCAGCGATCGGTCGCACAACCCACGCTTTCTTATTTTGGCACGTGTAAGAACAAAGCTTACGTTACCATGGCAACGATTGGTTGTTTACCACGAAATCAGTCCAATGAACTTAAGATCGTATGAACAGTCAAATAAGATCGAAAATACTTTGGTATGGCTAATGTTCGAATGCTAATGAGGTCAACTGATGGTAATGAGGTTGACTATCCAGGCGACACGTGTACTTAGGTATGAAGAGCTACTGTTACTATGTAATGTAGATGTCCAGTCAACAACGATGTATTGAGTGTGGCTGTACAGGTGATGCATAAATATATATTGGTATTGAGTTAGCATCATAAATTCCTTTTTTTTATTTTTAAAAAACTTTATCTCGCCCTACGGGCTTCCAGCTCGAAGTACAGGAGTAGGAACGGGATGGTTTCTAGTCAGTAAGAGTCTGACACTCCCTCCCGGCTCACCCAGGCGGGACCAGTAATTCGATGATTTTCTCCCCTTAAAAAAACGACCTAGGATTTTCTCATGTGTCATGGATGCGTTTACAAACATATAATATCACACATATATATGACACCCAGACTCGAAACAAGAATTTGTGGATCACACAAAGAGTTGTTGAGTGCGGAAATCGAACCAGCTACACGTTGCTCGGCAGCCGGCTGCCCAGCCACCGCGCCAACCGTGCAGACAATTTAAAGAACAACAGCTCATGCAATGCAATTATTCCACTCACTTGAAGATGTACAGCTCTTTATAACGTATTTTAAGTGTGGGAGAGCCATGCTTCGGCACGAATAGGCCGGCTCGGCCGGAGTGATACCACGGCCGAGCAGAAGACCGACGTGAAACAACGCCTGCGTTGTGTTTCGTCGTGTGAGTGAGGTTACCGGAGGCCCAATTACCTTCCCCTTCCCCAATCTCCCCAATCCCTGAATCCTTCACAATCCTAATTCCCAATTCCCAAAAGGCCGGTAACGCACTTGTAACGCCTTGGTGTTTCGAGTGTCCATGGGCGGAGCCGATTGCTTACCATCAGGTGATCAGTATGCTTGTTTACCGGCTTATGCTATATAAAAAAAAGTATTTTCTGCATGTATCCATGACGACCGTTAAGTACGAATGATCGGATGGTTGACCTCGAACTTCTCAGAAATCTATCAATATCTTCTATACATATAATAAAATCGTAAGAAGGTCAAAGTGTATATTGAATATTTTTTTAAAGAATACTTGAGGCGTAATCTAAAATCGATACCGAAACCAAATACAGTGAAACTTGGTTAAGTGGGACCTGGATAAGTGAGAAACCTCCATAACTGGAACTCATGCTGAGGTCCCAACACTTTGCCACTGAATTACCTCTGTTAGTGGGACGAGGTAAACCTCTATATCTGGGATTTGTTCTTTCGATTTATCATCATAGCCACCTCTATAACTGAGACAGCGAGTAAATTTTATATGCATAAACCTCTGTAACTGAGATAACATTCTACCCACAAATTCCACACGTAACACCAAGTCCACCTCTATTAATGAAACCCTCTGTAAATGGGACAGATATTTATTTATACCTGTATATCTGAGACACTGGGTAAGTGGAATACCTCTATAAGTGAATCGACATTACAGGTCCCTTGATGTCTCACTTAACCAGGTTTCGCTGTATATACAGTTTTTAGATTTTTTTTCTGTTTGTCTGTTTATGTATGTCCGGGCTAAACTCAAAAAGTACTACATGGATTTATTTCAAATTTTGCATGAATATTACAAACAGGCAGGTCAATATATAAACTATATATCATTACGCTATGACATACGGGAGAGGAGCTGTGAAGAACTATCGAAAGTCCCTATTCCACGCGGACGAAGTCGCGGGCATATACTAGTGGTTCATATATTGTGGAGCTTTTCCAATCAACAAGGACGTAGTGAGATTGATGGTCTTAAGGTGCGTGAGATATACTTAAATGCAGTAGTGTAAATAATGAATAGGGTCACCCCTATTAAATGGGACTAGCGATGTAATAAGATAATGTGTTATAATAATACCAATACATTACCTATCTTTCTGACCATTTTAAACTGTCAAATACCAAACGGTCACCGGTGACCGCAACCTATTGTTCTATAATTGTGTCTACAAAACCGGTACTCGACGAGTTAAAAGAGCTTATTGTTTGATGGGGGATAATCATCGAATGACTTCTCCCGCCTTGGGTCAGGTGGGAGAGAGAGACTCTTATGGACTAAAAATCACCCCGTCCCTACTCCTGCTTTTCGAGCTGGAGCCCCGGTAACCCGTTAAGTCTTCCGCGGCATCAGCCCTATCGAGCCTCATCTGTGGTGGTCCGGTGGCTCTTTAAGGCGCGCGCGAAACGTGACGTACGCTCGGGTCTGATTCTGGTCGGGCAGCCAGTTACCCATGCTCGCCGTCCGCAGGCCCGTGCTTACGTGGCTGGAGATAATCTCGCGTAAAAGGAGAGCTAAGATCTAATAGTAAGCAGTCCGATAGTATGGTACCTACATTTAATTTTGTATAAATTTTATTGTTTACACAAATTTTGAAAAATATAGAGTAATTAAAGTCAGCAAAATATTGCTTATTAAAGATAATGAACGATCGCGTAAGCTAGTCAGAGTAGCGCAGAGCAAACCGAAATTAATAAACGCTAGCTGAGATTGGCATAAGGATGGATGGAACAAGTCGTCATTATTATTATAAATAAGTACAAACTTCAAAGATTGTCACCATTAAGACAAAAGTCGAATGGTGTGTCTAGCCAAAGATAAAAAAAAGAATACAACGTCATTTAACAAAAAAAAAAACTAGATAAAAAAGTAAAACGTCAAAAGTCAAAATCATTTAATTCAATTAGACCAGAAAGGCACTTTTGAACGTCAACAATAAAATTAAAAGTGAAGCTATTTGCTCATTCCAAGGTGTAGATTCCTATGAAGAAGAACGAGCAAGAAACTCCATAAAAAAATATGAGGAAAAAATCAAAGTATACAAAAATAGAAAAAATCAAAATGGCTTCCAAGTTTTTCCTATTAACAACACGTGTTATTATTAAAACCCCGGGCCCTATACCAGGAACACAACAAACCCAGACAAACCAGATCATCTTAAGTAATAATAAAACGTCTCAGCAAAAACAGTTCTTATCCTTAAGACAATAGGATTGAAATTCTTTGTTTCTGTAGTCAGTAAATAAAAACAACGCATTGAATCTTAGAATCCCTTGTATATAAGAAACTATAGTTTAAAAAATATTGAAATGACATTTTTTACCTTTTTAACAGCAAACCACAGAGCACAGACTCAAAATTGAATGATATTTTTAATATTTTTCTCGGAAAATTGAACGCGTCCGTTCCGTTTGGCGGCAATAACTAGACTGCCGTACCCCGGGCGAAGCTCAGGTCACATAGACACCCTAGGGAAGCTAGCCGATCGATAGTGAAACAAAAATAGGTACCACTTATGTGCAACAACCTCATTGGTTGCAGTGTATGACGTTTTAAAATTCGAAGCTTTGGATAGTTGGCTTTTAATTTTTGAAGGTTATGATTTGGGCGGGATTTTTTTAAAATTAAGGTTTTTATATTAAATACTATAATTTCTTACTTATTATTATTATAATAGTACTAAGATATTATTAATGAAATCTAATATTTGACGCGTTTTGTTGTTTGTTATGCGATTCATGACAAAGTAGTTACCTAAATATAACCTTTTAATATGATAGAGGAAAGTGATCTTTATCGTAAAGTTTTAAAGTATATGATTGTTTGGAATCTCGCATCATAGCTTTTCGCTTACGGCCTTATGTTTTAATAAGATTTCCTCTTAATTTGATACGATTTGTAATTCGTTTTATGATATTGGGATCATAAGCAGCTTATTTATTTACCTTCACTAACAATATCGTTAAGTCTTCTTAAATGTTCGGACTTGAGAATAAAACCATAAAGTTATACGTATTAGGTTTTGAGAGCCGTACTTGTTCCTATTCAACCACAGGGCAATTCAAACACAAATTAATGTTCAAATTAATATAGCAATTAACACCACGCTTTATATAGAGGTATATGAGAAAATATTTGACTGCCTCGTTGGCCGAGTGGTCCCAAGTGCGGCTGCCGGACATGGGGTCTCGGGTTCCATTATCGGGCAAAGTATTACAGGTTTTTTTTTTCATTCTCAGTAGTAGCACGGAGTCTGGAATTGTGCCCGGTATATGGTAATAGGGTCACCCCCGATTACACGGGACTCATAACATAAATAGTGAACAGTGGGTGTTGCATTGTACAGTGTCATAATGTACACCTCTGCCTACATCTTCGGGGGTAAAAGGCGTGATGTTATGTAAGAAAATATATATTTCATTATAACTACATGACCAATTCACGAAGCCACGTCAGCGTAGTAATAATTTAGAAGCTTGCTACATATCGCTACGTAATTGGCTACGGCGTAGCACGTGGCTACGAAATTGCTACGTCTCTAACGCTGAAATAATCAAACGGGTCTCAATTTCAAATCTCCCAAGTATATATCTGTCTCTACAATTTCTTTGTAAAATGATAGAGATGGCACGATATTTAAGTAGAACTTAAATTTGAGTAGCCTTTCAATATTCGGGCGTAAATCTTATTAATGACGGGTTTTGTTTTCCTTTCATTACAATTACTTAATATCACGTTGGTTAGGTGATTAAGTGCGATAACTTATTCAAAGGTTGGATTTCCAGGTTACTTTTTTAATAATTTATAGTTAAAGCATGTAGTCTGCAATTGTTTTGCCATGACATTGATTTTATCAACGTTCAAAGGGGGTAGTTTTGAAATGCATTTTTTCGACGCCACTATATTTTATGTGATTTTTTTTCTTTTTATTTTAAACCGTTGCATCACACTAGGATTTTCTCCTGTTTCGTGGTTTGTAAACACAAAAATACAATTTCACATACACATGGCACCCAGACCCGAAACAACAACTTGTGGATCACACAAAGAGTTGTTCCGTGCGGGAATAGAACCCGCGACACGTTGCGTGGCAGCCAGTTACCCAGCCAACGCGCCAACCGTGCAGTCCGAACTATTTCATGCATGTTTATAAAAAGTCTTCACATTCCATGACAATACTTCTTGGGAATACTGGTTTTTAGTCAAATATAGATTTTACAATAGTTTAACAGGCACGTTAATGAATAGAATGCAATTCTTTAAAACATTAGTTGATTGCTTTCTGTCCCACATCATGTTGGAGGGTTACTATTTTTACTCCCAATAGATAGCAACACACGCCCCATTAAAATTTGTGAGACCATATTAAACTTAAAATTTCAACCGATCCTAGGTAATCATAGAGGTTGTTGTAAGATGGCGCTAAAACTACGAAAACTTATTAATTTGCTTCAAAATTACAATAATTTTATAAATTTACTACTAGTAATATTTTTATAAATTTATAATTTATAAATTAAGTGTGGGAGAGCCATGCTTCGGCACGAATGAGCCGGCTCAACCGGAGTGATACCACGGCCTCACAGAATTACCCTCCCCTTCCCCAATCTCCCCAAACCCTGAATCCCCAACGATCCTCAAACTCCTAATCCCCAAAAGGCCGGTAACGCACTAGTAACGCCTCTGATGTTCCAAGTGCCCATGGGCGACGCCGATTGCTCACCAACACCTCCTGCTCCTGCTCCTCTGCTTCTCTCCTAGAATTCTTTTACCTCTGATTTAGTGTGTAAACTAATCAAGTTTTTTTTCTTTTCCGATGCTATTATGCCGGCAGTGTGATAGTTATTGTAAAATGTTCAAAAAGTTTCTTAATCGTTAACAAATACATACATTATATGTCATGTGAATACAATGTATGTAGCACCAAAAATATTGAAATAAAGAACTAAAACTTTATAATGTTGTTATTTATTTTAAACCTCTTTTAATTTACAGAAGAAGTAATAAAGAAATCAACATACTTCTATTTGTTGCTTCTTTGATTTTGGAAATTGCCAATGAAGTGTTATAAACTAAGGTTCGATCACTGAGTGGTAATATTAATACTATGCATTCAATATAATATTTCATGAGAAATTAAATAACAATACCTTTACAAATTACCAAAATTCATAGGTATGAATGTTGACTCGATTACGTACTCGAGTGCATGTTTCTATTTTCAAATCCATTCTGTTTAGCTCTCACCAGATGGCAGTACTGTCGTTTTAGACGTCTTACTTCTCACTGTCGATGGTAACGACATTATTAGTGGAACAGGTTTGGTGTTAGGGCTCATATTAGTAACACAGTTCAAAACTAGGTGGCGCTGTGCTTCCAAATTTGTTTAATATTATCTGTTCCTGTCTTGCAGGACTTCCAGTAGTTGAAAAGAGTTTCACTGGAATAAGTAACTAAAATACTAGAAGGAATTATACATCTATGAATAAAAAGATAAGACACACGTAGCGTAACGTAGACATGAGTGCTACGGCGTAGCACAGTACGTAGCAACACGTAGTGAGGAATCTAGCTCATTAGAAACCATTTTTGTATCCTGTAAGTGTCTACCATATTGTATGTAGCACTACATCACGACAGGTGGTAGGACCCCTTTCAATGTATAATTTACATATTAATATGAAGGCACATGCGTAGTCTAAGCTTAAAGTGTCAAGAGCGAATTGAGTGAACATTTGATATTCCGTAGATTCAAACTGCTTTTTTACTCTAACAACGACTATTCGTGCCAAGCGTTTTGTATCAAGTTTTTTAAGAACCACTAAAGTGTGAAATTACTTACTAGAGTCTATGTTTCCCAAAAAATAAGCCTAGGTAGCTATAAGTCCAAAGTAAATGGGTTGCTTATGAGAAGGCATTTAATTTTATTCGTACATACTAAATAGGAAAACTTAAATTGTTCTTTCTTTTCTTTCTAGAACCACGAAGTATTTCTAATATGACATAAATAAAGAATTTCGTGGAAATGAGATTGTACAAACTGAAAGTTTTTAATCAGATGGAACCCTAAACTGGAAGACGTTGTAAATAGGGGTAGTACCCCAACAAAGGTACATAATCTATAATTATACATTGTCTATATACCAGTTATCGATCTGTCTGGGTTCGTGTGTGTGCGACGCAAGTATATATGTTTGCAGGCCAGGTGCTTCAGTACAGCCTTAGTGAAGAGGTGATCGATAGATTCTGCACAAAAAACTGACAAACCATATTATTTCTTATCTAATATTTACTAAGAAATCATTTTTACAGTAGAAGTAAATGATTAACAGCAAATCGCATTCATTAACATAGACTTGTAATATAATAATTGGTTTCATGTTGCTTTTAAGATTATATTAAAACCTAAAACTATAACACGTGACAAGAAAATATCGACAGTATATCGACAACACTGCCGTGTCCACACTGTACATCCCTACAGTACAGACGCCGCACCGCGCACATCTAGTCAGTCTCGTCATATACCACGCGCGGTACAGACGTGGGTCATAATTTCACAAAAAATCAAATTAATTATTAAGTAAAAACATCCAGAATTTTAGGTTCGTGTTTCCACGTTACTAACTGTGATATTGGACAATTTAAAAAGATATTCCTCTGACACCTAAGGTCAAGAAGATAAAGTGCGTGTTCAATGTTAGGTGACCCTGTACTAAGTTTTATTGAATAAACATGTGCTAATGTATTTTATTTTATTTTTCAGTTTTGGCTGCCTCGACCGGAATGTCGTCGAGAACCTTCCATAGAAGCGGCCCCAGGGAGGAGCGGAGTTTCATTACAGGTATGTATATATTTATGACACTATTTCTAGAAAATTATTCTTTTAATGAAAAGATAAATAGTGAATCGTTTTCGATGATTATTTACCTGCAGCAAGAATTATTCCAGACTCCGAGCTATTACTGATAATGTTCAAGTATTTAAGTAGTAAGAACTAAGCATTTTGGCCAACAGCGAACTGAATTTCAAACTCTGTGCTATTTGGTATCTACTAAGAAATTCTAAAAACTCAACAATTTCATCATAGAATCTAGATTCGTATCAGCTCCTCATACAGCGTATAAACTAATTAAGTTTTTTTTCTTTTCAGATGCTATTATGCTGGCAGTGTGATAGTTATTGTAGACTATTCAAAGAGTTTCTTGATTGTTAACTTTGGTACAAATACATACATTATATGTCATGTGAATACAATGTATGTGGCACCGAAAATATTTCAATAAAGAACTAAAACTTTATAATGTTGGTAATTATTTTAAACCTCTTTTACCTCACAGAAGAAGTAATAAAGAAACCAACCTACTTCTCTTTGTTGCTACTTTGGTTTTGAAAATTACTAATGAAATGTATAAGACTCAGGTTCGATCCCTGAGTGGTAATATCAATACTATGCTTCCAATATAATATTTCCCGAGAAATAAAACAACAATACCATTACAAATTACCAACATACCTACTCGAGTGTATGATTCTATTTATAAATCCAACCTTAGTTTAACTATCACCAGATGGCAGCTTTGTCGATAATTTTAGCATTGATTTAGATACCTTACTTCTCACTGGTGCTGGTAATGACACTATTAGTGGAACAGGTTTGGTGTTGGGGCTCATATTAGTTACAAAGTTTTATACGAGATGGTGCTGTACTATTTTCATTTTTATTTTTCTCTGATCCCAGGAGGTTATTAGTTGAAAAGAGTTTTACAGGAATAAGCAACTAAACTATTTAGCTTTCAGACATCTATGAATTAATGTAAAAGGTAATACGTAGCGCTACATTGACATGAGTGCTACGGCGTAGCACAGTACGTAGCAACACGTAGCAAGATATCTAGTTAATTAGAAACCAGTTTTGTATCATAAGTGTCGACCAAATTGTATGTAGCACTACATCACAACAATAGACTGATACATAACAGACGGTAGAAACGCTTCAAATGTATAATTTACTCAATAACTAGGTACGTTCGTCATCGAAGCTTAAAGTGTCAAGAGCAAATTGACCTAACAATTGGCGTTCCGTAGCTCAACTATAAAAAGCTTCGCTCTTGGGCGCAGGTACACTTACCATGTATTTTTTTATTTCGTTATTCGCATGATGGGTTTCGTTCAAATGTCAATGTCGTGTCAATGTCTCCTGTCTCGTGTCTGTGTGAAATTCCTCGCCATGGTTTATGCTTTTTTTATTCTTGGATACAATTGGGTATCTTAAAGAACAAAGTTATATATCTGACTGTCTCGTTGGCCGAGCAAGTGTAACTGTCGGGCAAGGGGTCTCGAGTTCGAATCCCGGATTGAGTAAAGTATTACTAGGTTTCGGAAAAAAAAACTCAGTAGTTGCACGGAATCTTGAATTGTACCCAGTATATGGCAATAGGGTCACCCCCAATTACATGGGACTCACAATATAAATAGTGAAAAGTGGGTGTAACATTGTACAATGGCCATTAAGTGCCGTAAATGTGCACCTCTGCCTACCCCTTCGGGGATAAATGTTATACATAATAAAACTCAGTAAGAGTCTGACACTCCCTCCCGCCTCACCCAGGCGGCAGCAGTCATTGGATGATTTTCCCCCCTTAAAAAATACATAATAAAACTGAGCCAAATAAACAATTTGAAAATTTCACTTTAAAAGTGAAACGGTACCCTAATCAAATAGGTGAAGCGATGAAAATTGTACATCATATACCATTGTGCATTCTGTGTATTGCAGTTATCGATCTGTCTGGGTTCTGTATGTGTGTGTGAGCGACGCAAGTATACGTGTGTGCAGACCAGGTGCTTCAGTACAGCTTTAGGGAAGAGATGATGTCGATAGATTCTGCACAAAGAACTGAAAAATTATATTTTTTCTTATTTAAACTGTCAAACACCAAGCGGTCACCGGTGACCGCCACCTATTGTTCTATAATTGTGTCTGCAAAACCGTTACTCGACGAGTTAATGTTTATAAATAAGTAATTTTTACAGTAGTTGTAAATGATTAACAGCAAATAGCATTCATTAACAAAGATTTGTAATTTAATATTTGAATTAATGTTGCTTTTATTAATTTAATATTAAAACCCAAAACTATAACACGTGACAAGATAATATCGACAGTATGTCGACAACACTGCCGTGTCTACACTGTACATCCCTACAGTACAGACGCCCCTAGTGCAGGCCATGATGCGGAGCGAGGGGGATTGGGATGCCGTCTCCTCCTTTTGCGAAGCAGTCATGCTAGCTAAGGAGGAGGCGGGACGCGTGAGGCAGCGAAGCGCTGCCTCCTCGCAACCCAGCCATCGCGAAGGACACACCGGGCGTCGGGGATCGCGGGACGATCTCCGGCCACCGTAAGCGCGGGCCTGCGGACGGCGAGCATGGGTGGCTCCCCGTCCGACCAGAAACAGACCCGAGCGTACGGCGCGTCGCGTTCCGCGCGCGCCTCAAAGAGCCATCAGACCACCACAGATGGGGCCCAATAGGGCCGATGCCGATTCGGAGTCGCGGAGAACCTAACGGGTAACCGGGGCTCCGGCTCGACGTGCAGGAGAAGGAACGGGGTGGTTTTTAGTCAGTAAGAGTCTGACACTCCCTCCCGCCTCACCCAGGCGGGGGCAGTCATTCGATGATTTTCCCCCCTTAAAAAAAAAAAAAAAAACAGTACAGACGCCGCACCGCGCACATCTAGCCAGTCTCGTTATATTCCACGCGCGGTACAGACGTGGGTCATAATTTCGCAAGAAATAAAAATAATTATTAAGTAAAAACATCCAGAATTTTAGGTAAGTGTCTCCACGTAACAAACTGTGATATTGGACAATTTAATAAGATATTTCTCTGACACCTAAGGTCAAGAAGATAAAGTGCGTGTTCAATGTTAGGTGACCGTGTACTAAGTTTTATTGAATTAACATGTGCTTATGTATTATATTTTACTTTTCAGATTTCGCTGCGTCGACCGAGATGTCGTCGAGAACCTTCTACAAAAGCGGCGCCAGGGAGGGGCGGAGTTTTATTACAGGTACGTACTTGTTTATGACAATATTTCTAGAAAATTATCCTTTTAATGAAGAGACAGATAGTGAATTGTGTTCTATGATTATTTACCTGCAGCAAGAATTATTCCAGACTCCGAGCTATTACTGATAATTTTCAAGTATTTAAGTCGTAAGAACTATATATTTTGACCAACAGCGAACTGAATTTCAAACTCTGTGCTATTTGGTATCTACTAAGAAATTCTAAAAACTCAACAATTCCTTCATAGAATCTAGATTCGTATCAGCTCCTCATATAACGTATAAACTAATTAAGTTTTTTTTTCTTTTCAGATGCTACTATGCTGGCAGTGTGATAGTTATTGTAGACTATTCAAAGAGTTTCTTGATTGTTAACTTCGGTACAAATACATACATTGTATGTCATGTGAATACAATGTATGTGGCACCGAAAATATTTCAATAAAGACCTAAAACTTTATAATGTTGTTATTTATTTTAAACCTCTTTTATCTCACAGAATAAGTAATAAAGAAATCAACATACTTCTCTTTGTTGCTACTTTGGTTTTGAAAATTGCCAATGAAGTGTGTAAGACTCAGGTTCGATCCCTGAGTGGTATATCAATACTATGCACCCAGTATAATATTTCACGAGAAATTAAACAACAATACCATTACAAATTACCAACATACCTACTCGAGTGTACATAATATGATTCTATTTATAAATCCAACCTTAGTTTACTATCACCAGATGGCAGCTCTGTTGATAATTTTAGCATTGATTTAGATACCTTACTTCTCACTGGCGTTGGTAACGACATTATTGGTATAACAGGTTTGGTGTTGGGGCTCATATTAGTTACAAAGTTTTATACGAGATGGTGCTGTAATATTTACATTTTTATTGTTCTCTGATCCTAGGAGGTTATTAGTTGAAAAGAGTTTTACAGGAATAAACATTTTAACTATTAGTAGCTTTTGGACATCTATGAATTAATGTAAAAGGTAATACGTAGCGCTACATTGACATGAGTGCTACGGCGTAGCACAGTACGTAGCAACACGTAGCAAGATATCTAGTTAATTAGAAACCAGTTTTGTATCATAAGTGTCTACCAAATTGTATGTAGCACTACATCACAACAATAGACTGATACATAACAGACGGTAAAACCGCTTCAAATGTATAATTTACTCAATAACTAGGTACGTTCGTCATCGAAGCTTAAAGTGTCAAGAGCGAATTGACTTAACATTTGGCTTAACATTTGACTTAACAATTTAAAAGTTAATTTGTTCTTTTGTTTTCTTTCCAGAACCACCAAATATTCCAATGAAACAGAAATAAAGAACTTCGGGGAAATGAGACGATGTAATAAATGAGATTATAAAAACTGAACATTTTAAAATAAGAATGGAGCCTCAAACAGGAACTTGTTTTAAAAAGGGGTAGTACCCCAACAAATGTACATAATCTATAATTATACATTGTCTATATACCAGTTATCGATCTGTCTGGGTTCTGTATGTGTGTGTGCGACGCAAGTATACATGTGTGCAGGCCAGGTGCTTCAGTACCCTTAGTGAAGAGACGATATCGATAGATTCTGCACATAAAACTGACAAACTATATTATTTCTTATCTAATATTTACAAAGAAATCATTTTTACAGTAGAAGTAAATGATTAACAGCAAATCGCATTCATTAATATAGACTTGTAATATAATAATTCATTTAATGTTGCTTTTAAGATAATATTAAAACCCAAAACTATAACACGTGATAAGAAAATATCGACAGTATATCGACAACACTGCCGTGTCTACAGTGTACATCCCTACAGTACAGACGCCGCACCGCGCACATCTAGCCAGTCTCGTCATATACCACTCGCGGTACAGACGTGTGTCATAATTTCACAAGAAATGAAAGTGATTATTAAGTAAAAATATCCAGAATTTTAGGTCCGTGTCTCCACGTAACAAACTGTGATATTGGACAATTTAAAAAGATATTTCTCTGACACCTAAGGTCAAGAAGATAAAGTGCGTGTTCAATGTTAGGTGACCCTGTACAAGTTTTATTGAATCATGTGCTTATGTGTTTTATTTTATTTTTCAGTTTTGGCTGCCTCGACCGAAATGTCGTCGAGAACCTTCCACAGAAGCGGCGCCAGGGAGGGACGGAGTTTCATTACAGGTATGTATATTATTATGACACTGTTTCTAGAAAATTATTCTTTTAATGAAAAGACAAATAGTAAATCGTTTTTGATGATTATTTAGCCGTAACAAGAATATTTCGAGACTCCAAGCTATTACTGAGAATTTTCATATATTTCAGTTGTAATAACTAAGCATACTGATCAACAAGGAGCTTAATTTTAAACCTTATGCTATTAGGTACTACGACATTCTTAAAACTCAACAATTCTGTCCTAGAATCTAGATTCAAATCAGCTCCTCATACAAGTTTTTTTCTTTCCAGATGCTGCAGTGCTGACTGGTGTTTACCTCATGAGTAGGTCGTTGTAGACTATTCAAAGAGTTTCTTTACGGTTGTTTTGTACAAATTACATGTAGAGGTACACCCTTATGTAAACATTTTTAAATAAATTACAGTCACTTGTACCTGATGTTGTTGTTTATTTCAAACCTCTTTACTGTATGTATAGTGATAGATTATTGAAATATATATAGTTGTATTAATTGTTGGTTTCTTCCTTTTACAAATTACCATTTATTAAATTGCCGTGTTCAGGTTCGACCTTCACGCTGTTGTTCAATTTAGCTTCCAATACAGTTAGTTCAGTTGTAACGAAATTCATCTAAAACATGACTGAATTGCTCTGTTTACTAATTTATAAATCCATTTCTCGCTAAATAATCTCTCTCTAGATGGCAGCATTGTCGTTAAAGTTAGTTTGGATTAAGTTACCCATCAAGTGAATATTTGCTTCATGAAGATACCTCACTTCTCACTACCGGTAGTAACGATATGTTTTAGCGTAGTATATTTCGTGTTAGGTCTCTAATTAGTTACAAATGTTACAACTAGATGGCGCTATTCGATATATGAGTATTAATAATTCAGTTCTCAACAGATGGCAGCACTAACTGAAATTGAGATGACATTATGCTTTAATTTTATTCTTTACTACACAGTAGCAAAAACTTAATTATGACTAATAACATATTTAGTGGAACGTAGAATGTCTACAAAATATTTAAACTAAAACGTTAGCATCATGATATAAAACCAACTTTTTTTTTTATTTTATTTAGGGACTCTTATACTAATGTACATGTCAGTCCCATCGGACCTTATATTATAAGCTTAGAATAAATCTAATGAATTATGTAACTACAATTAATAAACTATGTACTAAAACGCAATAACACAAACTTAATTTAGTTAAACGCATCCTTGGAGTTGGGCAGCGACAAAATATGATGGAACATTCCAACATTGTACTTATTTGTCTCGAGTTCTCTAAACAAGACTTCTCTTGCAGAATGAAATCTGACACATTCCGTCAATATATGCGTAATATCTTCTACTGTACCGCATTCCTCACAATTCGGTGAATTATTTTTTAAACCGCCTTATAGCTGACCGTTACACGACATATGGTAGAACCCTTTCAACGCACAATATAATTACTCAATATTTAGGTACGTACTCGAAGCTTATAGTGTCAAGAGCGACTCAGTTTTGTATACAGTGTTCCGCATATTCAAATATACAAAAAGTGGCTATGGTAGACTGTACTAAAACATAATTGAATATTGAAAAAATTGTTTCAAGTTTTTATGTTTTTAATAGTTTTTAATGAGAATACTCTAGAAATTTATGTAGGCGTAGTATTTAGAAGACAGATTAACTGTATTCCAAATGAAGTAAGAAGTGTTCAAGTCAGATGTAATTTTGATGAAAAATCTAAATGAAGAATAATACAGACGATTCACAGTTTTATAAAAATCACGCTACATTTTTATTAAAAGGACTACCTTTGAGTAGAAGAAGCACACTAGTGATTTGTATAAAACCCGAAACGAAGTACAAGACTTCTTAGAGAAATGATAACTTTTTTCGAAAATTTAAAATTAAAATTTGTACGGTACCCTAGACAGGGAATTGTTGTATATAGGGGTGGCTATCAAATGTACATAATATACAATTATAGCAGTTATTGATTGAAATCTGTCTGGGTTCTGGATGTGTGCGTGCGGCACTAGTATACGTGTGTGCAAACCAGGTGTTTCACCCCAGCCTAAGGGAAAAGATGATGTCGATAGATTCTATATGAGAGTTATCCTTGTAATATTTGCTATGGTATTATTTCCTTCTGTGGAGTTAAAATTCTTTGCAATCAAAATAAACAAAAGTCGAGGATTCGACGTAGCAACTTAATCATGATCGGCGTAGCCAAATACGTAGCAACTCGTAGCAAGACAAGTTTATTTGAACTACATTAGTTCACTACATAACACCACCCCACAGCAGACCATGACGATACAGACTTTGGACCCCTTCCAGTACACTATATTATTACTCAATAACAAGGAACATTCTCGAAGCTTAAAGTGTCAAGAGCAAATCAGTTTAGTCTTTATGTGTTCCGCATATTTTAGGCAATGAAGAAGAGCAAATACACACTCATTTACAATTCTGAATTCTATCATGTTTTTAGTGATCAATAGAGGAATCACTGGGAATTTAAACAAAAAAAGTCTGTCTGATTTAAAACAGTTCCTCGTCTAAAGCAAAGTCAATAAATACATGTACTATTATCAATTATTTGAAGTCCTATAAATAGATAATTAAATGATTACGCCAATATCTCTGGAAAGTATCAGTTAAGCAAAATTTCCATAACAAAAATGTAAACGTATGACGGTACCCTAAACAGGGTCTTGCTGCAAATAGGGGTTTTCATTGGTAGTACATAATATACAATCACACAATGTCTGTACAGCAGTTATCGATCAAAATCTGTCTGGGTTATGTAAGTGTGAGTGCGGTGTAGGTATATATGTGTGCAGATTATTCTCCCACGCTGAAATTGAAATTAGGGACGGATAATAGAAAATATCGATAGTTTTTAGCGATAGATATTATGAAAAACTAAAAACTAGATACGCTTAGTCCTGAAATGTGTAGGGATGACAATGCACCGTTACTACTTACGTTGCACAAATTATTACAAGATCGAAGCCACGGTGCTTGGTCGCCTCTATATCATCAAAAAAAAAACAAAATCATTGTTCTTACTATAACTATGTAATTTTATATTCATCAGACCAGTCACACAATAATAACTCATGTTTATGTCATGGTTGGAAAATATTTCTGGACTACACATGTATTAATAAGAATATATAAAAAATTTAAATTATCGATATCACTGCCGTGTCTACACTGCACATCCCTACAGTACAGACGCCGCACCGCGCACATCTAACCAGTCTCATTGTATGGCAGTCGCGAAGCAGACGTGTACCATTTATTTGTCTCAAATAAAAGTGATATTTCTAATCATTTTGTGTGTCTAGTGAAGCTGAGGACTCATGCAGGTAATGTACCATGTCTCTTTATAATATTCAAAAGAAATATTAACACATTGGATACCGTATCGGACAATGATGACCGGCGCTAGCGGAGGATTAGCCTTTTAACTGTTTTTGTCGGTTGTTAAAGCCTTAATTAACTCGTCGAGTACCGGTTTTGTAGACACAATTATAGAACAATAGGTTGCGGTCACCGGTGACCGCTTGGTGTTTGACAGTTTAATATGTTTGTTAAGATTATATGGACTAGGTGAAAAACAAAAGAATATTAATATGAATGCTCTCAAATGTCGATTTGCCTATTACTAATGAAATTTCTTTGATATAAAACTGTATGAATGTTTAATTTACAGTTCACACTGCCAGTCGCCGAGTCACCGTGGACGTCTACTACAGTGATGGCGTCAGGAAAATGTGGAGTTATAATTATGGTATGTACTGTTTTGCTTTTATAATGTCCTGGTAATTATTTTCTTAAATTTTATTTCGAAACTGTTTGTTTAAAACCTATGTCAATTATGTATATTCTAACTTGTTCCTACTCATTGGTGTTGGTGTATTAATACTCCCACTTTTAATCTCGTTGTAGTCTCCTCTATTACTAAGAATATATCTGTTTTTCCAATAGTCTTTCTTTTCTCTTCTTATGCAACCGAGTCTCCAATATGATGCTGTCGACTATACTGCCAGTGTCGAGTTTGCCAAAAGTCGTATTTATATGGACTTGTGACGCATCGTATATAATCTGTGACATTTCTTTTTTTCAGTTGCTGTATGGACGTGACAGAGGGAACGAGATGAACTTCAAATACTGTGTATAACATGGGTAGATTATTTAAAGAGTTTCTTGAAATCCATGTAATAAAAATTATAACTTTAAGTTATAATTCTAATGAATATTTTTTTATAATAAAAGACTATAACTTCTAGTGTTGTCGTTTATTTGAAAACCTTTTATCCAATGAAACAAGTAGTAGATTGTTGAAATCTACTTATATTCTTGATATAACCCAATAGCTAAGTCTCGGGTTCGACCCCTTAGCGGTAATTTGAAACTTACCTTCGAAAGAAGTTTTTCAAATGAAACTAGAAAACTTGCTAAATACTTTAGATAAAACACCTATGACACATTGTCAAATGTTAGCCTAGCCTAGCAAGCAGTGACAGCTATCGGTCAGTCTGTCATGCAACGGACAACAAATTTAATTTTGAGTACAGCGCCATCTATCTTTGCATCGACACACTAATTTTATACCTAGTACATCTAAAAACCCCTTTTGAGCATAGCGCCACCTAGTTTTAACTTTTATTAAAACATAAACCCTACCATGAAACTAATTCTAATGAATTGTCACCAATGAGGTGACAATTGATTGAAAAAGAGGCGAGGCCTTTAACACTGATACCAAAACGGAGCCGCGGAGGACTTAACGGGTGAACGGGCCTCCGGCTCGAAGTGCAGAAGTAGAAACGGGGGGTTTTTAGTACATAAGAGTCTGGCACTCCCTATCGCCTCACCCGGGCGGGAGAAATAATTGAATGATTTACCCTTCTCAAAAGAAAAAAGATTACTTTAATCTACAATGTTGCCATCTGGTGAGAGATTACTTAATTAATAACTAATTTATTTATATTATGAGTTCTTGTTTGTACTAGAGAGAATTTCCTAGTTGGAAACTATTGAACATTTCATTCATGGCATATTAGCGCCATCTAGTTGACACAAAACTATCAGCTCTCATTACGCCATCTTCGTAAACTACGGGCGTAGTGCGAATTTTAAATATGATCGAAACGCTTAGCTCTCCGATTGGTTGGTTTATTGGTTACTTAGAGCAGCCAATCAGAGCTTCGAACATCATAAACATGTCGATCGCGTTAACTTTAATACTAAGCCCTCTGGTTTGGAGGTTAGGTATAAAATTACCTGAGATGGATCGTTAACCATTGCTTTAGTAACTTGTTATATGAACAGCAGCTGTAGCCAAATGCTATTTAGCGCTAGTCTACATGTAGAATAGAATAGTTCGTTTTCTACTCTCTCTGTAGACAAGTGCTAAAGTGGCAATTGGCTAAAGGCACAGATTTTAACAATTGAGTACTTATTTTATAAATTAAACAACAATATTAGAAATTATAGATTTTATTACAAAAATATTAAGTTACATAACCATTGTTATTGCTGCATGTTCTTTCTATGAAGACAACAATTAAGAAACTCTTTGAATAATCTATCCCTGATATAGACATTTTTGAAGTACATTCCATTTTCTCTGTCACTTTGAAACGGGACCTGGAAAAAAAATGTTTAAATTATACCAACCACGAAAAAATCTTCATGGAAAATATACAAATATTTTTATTTATGGACGAGGTTACAAGAAGGTAGAAAGTGGCAGAATTAATACACACACACACACACACCAATTAGAAGGAACGTGTAAGAAGACACCAGATATACACGATCCTCGGTCATTTACGGTTTTAAATAAACCGTCGACCGCAAATGAAGAAACACCAAGTGGTCACCGGTGACCGCAACCTATTGTTTTATAATTGTGTCTATAATGACGGTACTCGACGAGTTGAATGAAGAAATACCGTATCCTTATACTTTTAGCAAACCAGTACACACCATTAATATAAGTCCACATATCCCTGACGCCACCTCTGTAGTAGTCATCTGCGGTGATTGACAGTATGAACTGTAATAAAACATACGTACTTAACAATAATATTGGTATGCCGTAAGCCGTTTAAATTTGAAGCATTCACGTATTATTATTTTTCCTTCAAGTTTACACCTTATTCTTATATTATTCTAATTCACTGTAAAATAGACATTATATTACCTGCATAAATCCTTAGTTTCACTTTACACACAATGTAAATAGAAAAATTACATTAATTTTAGGTTAAAATATGAAACACGTCTATACAGCGCGTGGCACATATCGAGACTGGTTAGATGTGCACGGTGCGGCGTCTGTTCTGTACTGTAGGGATGTGCAGTGTAGACACGGCAGTGTGGTCGATATTTTATATATTTTTTTTATTTTAACTGTTTAGTAAGTTATTGCAAGCTTGCTATATTTTTCCTAACTTAAATTACTAAGTGAAAGGTCTATTGTTATTTATTATAATGTACCTAATTTATAACAAACTACCTCGTTGGCCGAATAGTCGCAAGTGGGACTGCCGGGCATGGGGTCTCGAGTTCGATTTCCGGGTCAGGCAAAGTATTACTGGGTTTTTAAAAAAATCTCAGTTGTAGCACGGAGTCTGGAATTGTGCCCGGTATATGGCAAAAGGCTCACCCCTATTACTTGGGACTTATAACTTTAATAGTGAAAAGTGACCTACCCCTGCTTAGCCTACCCCTTCGGGGATAAAAGGCGTGATTGTTTGTATGTATGTATGTATAATATAATTTAAAATCATGATTTCGTTTCATAAACAAAGCATTGATAAAAACAGTTTAGTAGTCAGCGACTGCTCACCTCACGAGAACTTAATATTATAGTGACGTTATTGATGAAGATGATGGCAAAAGGGGAGGTATATTAGGTACTAAGGGGGAGGCCTTTGTTTAAAAGTGGAAGTCTTCTGTGTGATGATACTGATGATAATATTATTACTGACAACTAGCGTCTGTTTGCTTTCCAGTTGTATTTGATATTTTGTAGATTCTGTCGGGGACATAACTTCACCTATTTCAGTTTCATGGTTAGATTGTTAACAAGCTGGTAAAGATTGAAGGGCCCTGGATCGAATCTTACATACATACATACATAACTTCACGCCACGTAGGCAGAGACTAAGGAACGCCAATTACTACGATTCTTACATACCTCTTTCGCTTCATTAACAGTCATCAATCTTTTCATGCATGCTCGTCGGTTAAGGGTACTTTTAATTTGGCCCTTCTTTAATATATTGCCAATCTACGAAACTTATAAAAATGAAATAATTAATGAAAATACTATAATCTATCGATATTATCTATTACCCTTCCCTAATATTAGTGTGGGGGCATAATCTGCACACCTATACCTGTGCCACACTCACACATTCGTAACCCAAACAGGTTTTTATAATAACCGTGGTACAGACAATGTGTTATTGTATAGGTATTACAATCACCCCTATTTATAGCAAGCCCCTGTTTAGTGTCCCGTCACTATAAAAAACATTCTTTCGAAAAGATTTACAATGAAGTTTTGTTTCTCGTTCTTCTCCATTCAAAAATAGACTTTGAAACAACCACTTAGCTTCACTGACAAACAAACTATCGGACAATTCAATTTGACGTTGACGACGTAAAATAAATGCTTTGAATTTGACTATATTGGTTTTAATGTTTCTTTATTGATTTTTTTTTCTAGATTAAGTGACATCTGGTAGTACTTTCTGTAATTATCGAGTACTGTCATTAATTGTATACTTCTATATTACTAAAAATGTCGTAAGGTAAATGTATTACACTGTTACTTATCGACCTAAAAAAATCTTTAAGGACAGTGCTGCCATCTGTTGAGACCAAAAAATAATATCCCTTATTCATTATAAAGTGCGGAATCATTGCGGTGACAACTATTTGTAATATTATCATAAAACTAAAGCGTTTATAGATGTTCTTCTCAAATCCAAAACAAAAAGAAAACAATAACTATTATCACTTTATTCTATTAGAATATAAAAAGGTTTTTAAATGAACAACAACATATGAGTGGTACATTTTTATTTATGTTAATGTTATATTAAACGAATTGCTTACAGTACCTACTGTAAAACATTACTCGAATTTCAATCATCAAGAAACTCTTTAAATAATCTACAATCCACGTTACTAATATACCGCTATTACTGCAGCACCTGAAAAATAATAATAGAAACTGAATTCAATAACACTCTACATAAGGAACAAATATGAGTGTCAAGTCAAGGAAATAAATTTTGTGTTCTGGAATTCTCAGTAATAGCGCAGGGTTTGAAATTGATTGAAAATTGATTAAAAAAACCTGATTATAAAAGAGTAACCTATGGAATTTCTTACTCGATCTTCTCCATAGGATACCTTAGAATGAGCTATACAGCTTATTATAAAATAATATAACATAACATAACGTCACGCCGTTACGGCACTTAATGCCACTGTACAATGTAACACCGACCACTCAGCCAACGAAGCAGTCTTATTATAATATATATTTATATATATAGCTTATAATAATATAATTAATAGCTTCAAATTTACTTTTAATTTTTTGTTGAGGTTCAAAAGTACCTTTCTGGTCTTATTGAAATAAATGATTTTCACTTACTTATTTTTACTTTTGATATTGAACTTTTTGTAAGTCTAAATGCTTTCTAAGTTAGATTACTAATTGGACCTCATAACGTGAATAGTAAAAAGTCAGTGTATCTACTACACACGTATATTTCTCTGCCCATTGTCATTTCTCAATTCATTAAACTGGTTTTTTAATAGAAATACGAAATTAGTACGCACCTTTCATAAAACTCCGCACTTCAAGGACGTCGCTTTTGTGGTTCACATCTAAAACCATCTCAGGTGTCTGACAGCGGAATCTGGAAAATAAATAAAGGATATAAAGTGAAAGTCAAAGCATTTATTTCAATTAAACCATAATTTGGTACTTTTGATACGTCAACAAATACAAAATAAATAATAGTCTGTCAGTCAGTACGTCAGTCAAGCTAGGTGAAGCTAAGTGCTCATTCCAAAATGTAAATTCGAATGGAGAAGAACGAGAAAGAAACTTCATTCGTTCTCCTTTTAAAAAAAGTATGTTCTACAATGTCTCTGATACATATTCCAATACTTTACGTTTATGTGAGAACAATGCAAAGATAATATAAAATTACGTGTCACTTATGCCCTTAGTCATACAAAGGAACCGATTAAAACTAACACTTTACACAATTAAACAAAACATAACATCACGCCTTTCTTCCCCGAAGGGGTAGGCAGAGGTGCAAAAACTGTATATGGCCAACTTCACAGAAGAAAATAATACCATAGCAAGTATTACAAGGATAAATTTCAAACATAATCTATCGACATCATCTCTTCCCTCAGACTGGGGTGAAACACCTAGTTTGCACACAAGTATACTAGTGCCGCACGCACACATACAGAACCCAGACAGATTTCAATCAATAACTGCTATAATTGTATATTATGTACATATGATAGCCACCCCTACGTACAACAATTCGCTGTTTAGGGATCCGAAAAACTAAATTGAAAATACAAATTTTCATAACAAACAAATATGATTTCCCTCATATGATTTCTCTTCTCACAATTAGGTAGTATGGTACTAGAATTGGACCGTGTTTTATATAAATCACACTACCTTTTCATTCACCCAGTCTACATGCAACAATCACAGTTTGTCATCAAAATTACATCTGACTTGAACATCGTTTACTTAATTTAGAATACAGTTTATTTGTCTTCTAAATACTACGCCTACATAAATTTCTACATAAAGTATTCTCATTAAAGACTATTAAAACCTTAACGAAACATTTTTTTTTTTTCGATATACAATTATGCTACAGTACAGTCGACCATAACCACTTTTTGTACATTTGAATTTGCGGAACACAGTATGCAAAACTGACTCGCTCTTTACACTATAAGCTTCGAGTACGTACCTAAATATTGAGTAATTATGTTGTGCGTTGAAAGGATTCTACCATCTGTCGTGTAACGGTCAGCTATAAGGCGGTTTAAAAAAATAATTCACCTAATTGTGAGGAATGCGGTACAGAAGAAGATATTATGCATCTATTGACGGAATGTGTCAGATTTCATTCTGCAAGAGAAGTCTTGTTTAGAGAACTCGAGACAAATAAGTACAATGTTGGAATGTTCCATCATATTTTGTCATTGCTCAACTCCAAGGATGCGTTTAACTAAATTAAGTTTGTGTTATTGCGTTTTAGTACATAGTTTATTAATTGTAGTTACATAATTCATTAGATTTATTCTAAGCTTATAATATAAGGTCCGATGGGACTGACATGTACATTAATATAAGAGTCCCTAAATAAAATAAAAAAGAAGTTGGTTTTATATCATGATGCTAACGTTTTAGTTTAAATATTTTGTAGACATTCTACGTTCCACTAAATATGTTATTAGTCATAATTAAGTTTTTGCTACTATGTAGTAAAGAATAAAAGCATAATGTCATCTCAATTTTTAGTTGGTGCTGCCATCTGTTGAGGACTGAAAAATTAACACTCATATATCGAATAGCGCCATCTAGTTGTAACAGTTGTAACTAATTAGGGACCTAACACGAAATATACTATGCTAGAACATATCGTTACTAACGTTAGTGAGAAGTAAGGTATATTCATAAAGCAAATATTCACTTGATGGGTAACTTAATCCAAACTAACTTTAACGACAATGCTGCCATCTAGAGAGAGATTATTTAGCGAGGAATGTATTTATAAATTAGTAAACAGAGCAATTCAGTCATGTTTTAGATGAATTTCGTTACAACTGAACTAACTGTATTGGAAGCTAAATTGAACAACAGCGTGAAGGTCGAACCTGAACACGGCAATTTAATAAATGGTAATTTGTAAAAGGAAGAAACCAACAATTAATACAACTATATATATTTCTGTAATCTATCACTATACATACAGTAATGAGGTTTGAGATAAACAACAACATCAGGCACAAGTGACTGTAATTTATTTAAAAACGTTTACATAAGGGTGTACATGTAAGTTGTACAAAACAACCATTAAGAAACTCTTTGAATAGTCTACAACGACCTACTCATTAGGTAAACACCAGTCAGCACTGCAGCATCTGAGAAGAAAAAAAACTTGATTAATAAGATTATACCTCTACGCTATATGAGGAGCTGATACTAATCTGGATTCTAGGCAGGAATTGTTGAGTTTTTAGAATTTCTTAATAACTAATAGCACTCCTGCTATTGGGAATTTCACAATAATAAATCGGAGTCTGGAAATATTTTACTGCAGGTAAATAATCATCGAAAACGATTCACTATTCGTCTTTTCATTAAAATAATAATTTTCTAGAAATAGTGTCATAAATTTATACATACCTGTAATAAAACTCCGCCCCTCTCTGACGCCACTTCTATGGAAGGTTCTCGACAACATTTCGGTCGAGGCAGCCAAAACTGAAAAATAAAATAAAACACATAAGCACATGATTCAATAAAACTTAGTACAGGGTCACCTAACATTGAACACGCACTTTATCTTCTTGACCTTAGGTGTCAGAGAAATATATTTTTAAATTGTCCAATATCACAGTTTGTTACGTGGAGACACGGACCTAAAATTCTGGATGTTTTTTACTTAATAATTACTTTTATTTCTTTTGAAATTATGACACACGTCTGTGCCGCGCGTGGTATATGACGAGACTGGCTAGATGTGCGCGGTGCGGCGTCTGTATTGTAGGGATGTACAGTGTATACGCGGCAGTGTTGTCGATATACTGTCGATATTTTCTCGTTTTTTGTTATAGTTTTGGGTTTTATTATCACCTTAAGAGCAACATTAAATCAATTATTGAATTACAAATCTTTATTAATGAATGCGATTTGCTGTTAATCATTTACTACTGCTGTAAAAATTACTTATTTTAAACATTAGATAAGAAAAAATATAATTTTTCAGTTCTTTGTGCAGATTCTATCGACATCATCTCTTCCCTAAGGCTGTACTGAAGCACACGTATACTTGCGTCGCTCACACACACATACAGAACCCAGACAGATCGATAACTGCAATACACAGAATGCACAATGGTATATGATGTCCAATTTTCATCGCTTCCCCTATTTGATTAGGGTACCGTTTCACTTTTAAAGTGAGACGGTTTTTATTGTACAATTTTTTTTTATTTCTTATAGATGTTTGTTTTCTGTCACATAAGAAACACTTTGTGATTGTATAATTTGGCTCTGCTTTTTTATAATATTTATCTCCGAAGGGGTAGGCAGTGGTGCACATTTACGGCCCTTAATGGCCATTTTACAATGTAACACCCAATTTTAACTATTTATGTTATGATACCCTTGTAATTGGGGGATAGCCTATTGTCATTGCCATATACTGGACAAAATTCTAGACCACGTGCTACTACTGGGATTTTTTTCAAAAATTTACATAAAAACAAACATTTTATTTTTATAGCGTAACTAACATTTTATAGTTGAGCTACGGAACACCACATGTTCAATTAATTCGCTCTTGACACTTTCAGCTTCGAGTACGTACGTACCTAGTAATAACTAGGTACATACAATAGAGTAAATTATACATTTGAAGCGGTCCGTCAGACCGTCTGTTATGTATCAATCTGTAATGTTGTGAAGTAATGCTACATACAATTTGGTAGACACTTCATTATACAGAACTGGTTTCTAATTGACTAGATAGCTTGCTACGTGTTGCTACGTACTGTGCTACGCCGTAGCACTGTACGTCTATGTAGCGCTACGTATTACCTTTTACATTAATTCATAGACGTCTGAAAGGTACAAATAGTTTAGTTGCTTATTTTTGTGAAACTCTTTTTATCTACTGGACTCCTAGGAACAGAGAGCAATAAGAAGTTGTTAGAACAACGCCATCTCGTTTAAAACTTTGGAATCAATATGAGCCCTATCACTAAACCTGTTCCACTAATAATGTCGTAAGTGATTCTATTTCAATCAATGCTAAATTTATCGACAGAGCTGCCATCTGGTGAAAGCTAAAAATAATGTATTTATAAATGGAAACATACACTCGAGTAGGTATGTTAGTAATTTATAATGGTATTGTTGTCTAATTTCTCGTGGAATATTATATTGAATGCAGTATTGTTATTACCACTCAGGGATCAAACCTGAGTCTTACACACTTCATTGGCAATTTTCAAAACCAAAGGAGCAACAAAGAGAAGTATGTTGGTTTCTTTATTACTTCTTCTGTGAGATAAAAGAGGATTAAAATAAATAACAACATTATAAAGTTTTCGTTCTTTATTTCAATATTTCCGGTGCCCATACATTATACTCACATGACATACAATGTATGTATTTGTATCGAAGTCAACATTCAAGAAACTCTTTGAATAGTCTACAATAACTATCACACACCCTGCATAGCAGCATCTGAAAAGAAAACAACTTAATTAGATTATACGCTAAACAAGGGGCAAAAGAAATCTAGATTCTAGGAAGGAATTGTTGAGGTTTTAGAATTTCTCAGTACCTAATAGCACGGGGTTTGAAATTCAGCTCGTTGTTGGCCAAAATGCTTAGTTGTAACCATTTAAATATTTGCAAATTCGCAGTAATAACTTGGGGTCTGGAAATATTTTTGCTGCAGCTAAATAATCATAGAAAACAATTCACTATTCGTCTCTTCATTAATAGAATGATTCTCTAGAAATAATGTCATACATAAGTACGTACCTGTAACGAAACTCCGCCCCTCCCTGGCGCCGCTTTTGTGGAAGGTTCTCGACGACATCTCGGTCGAGGGAGCCAAAACTGGAAAATAAAATAAAATACATAAGCACATATTTATTTAATAATACTTATGATAGGATCACCTAACATTGAACACGCAATTTATATATTCTTGACTTTCGGAGTCTGAGAAATATATTTTTAAATTGTCCGATATCACAGTTGTGAAGTGTCGACACTTACCTAAAATTCTAGATGTTTTTACTTAATAATTACTTTTGTTTCTTATGACGAAATTCTGAAATTATGACACACGTCTGTACCGCGCGTGGTATATGACGAGACTGGCTAGATGTGCGCGGTGCGGCGTCTGTACTGTAGGGATGTACAGTGTAGACACGGCAGTGTTGTCGATATATACTGTCGATATTTAATTGTTAGTATTTTATAGTTTTAGCTTTTAATATCATCTTATAAGAAAAATTAAATCATATATTATATTACAAGTCTATGTTAATGAATGCGATATGCTGTTAATCATTTACTTTTACTGTAAAATTTATTTATTTGTAAACATTATATAAAAAAAATACAATTTGTCAGTTCTTTGTGCAGAATCTATCGACATCATCTCTTCACTAAGAGTGTACTGACAAAGCACCTGGTCTGCATACACGTGTACTTGCGTCGCACACACACATACAGAACCCAGACAGATCAATAACTGATATATAGACAGTGTATAATTATAGATTATGTACATTTGTTGGGGTACTACCCCTATTTACAACGAGTTCCTGTTTAGGGTTCCACCTGGTTTTAAAATTTTCAGTTTGTGAAATCTCATTTATTTCATCATCTTACTTCTCTTGAAGATATTAATTTCTGTCCCATTAGAAATACTTCGTGGTTCTGGGAAGAAACAATAAGAACAATTTAACTTTCCCTATTCACTTTGTATGAATAGAAATAAAAGGCTGTTCATAAGCAACCGTTTTACTTTGCACTTAAAGATGCCCAGGTTTATTGATCTGGAAATGACTCTAGTAAGTAATTTCACACTTTAGTTGTTCTCAATAAACATGATACTGAACACTTCGCATGAATAACTGGATTGGCATGCCCAGCATAATATTGTGGCACTGTTTATTTGCTAGCTCAAATGTAAGAGACTCACCTATAATATATTTATGTATCTTTGCCTTAGACTTCATAGAGCAAACAGTACAGTGATAGTGTATATTTGAATCTAAGGGACACCAAATGTCCAGCCAATTTGCTATTGACACTTTAACCTTCGGCTACGCATGCACCTACACATTAAGTAAATTATACATCTAAAGCGGTTCTACCATCTGTCGTGCATCAGTCTGTAATGTTGTGATGAAGTACTACATACAATTTGGGAGACACGTACAGGATACAAAACTGGTTTCTAATGAGCTAGATTTCTTACTACCTGTTGCTACGTACTGTGCTACGCCGTAGCACTCATGTCTACGTTGGCTACGCAATATCTATTTCATAGATGTCGAATTGCTACTAGTAGTTTATTTCAATGAAACTCTTTTAAACTACAGGAACTTCTGTAAGCTAGGAACAGAGAACAAAAAACGTTAGTACAGCGCCACCTAGTTCTGAATTTTGTAACTTATATGAGCCCTATCACCAAACCTGCCCCACTAATAATGTTGTTGTCATTGCTAGTGAGAAGTAAGGTTTCTAAATCAATGCTAAATTCATCGGCAGTGCTGCCATCTGGTTGTAATTAAACAGAGGATGGGTATACACTCGAGTATACATGTATGTTATAATTGATAATTTGTAATGGGATTGTTCTTTAATTTCTCGTGACATTCTATATTGCATACTTAGTATTAAACCACCACTTAGGAGTCAAACCCGAGTCTTATCTACTTCATTCATAATTTTCATAACGAAAGAAGCAACACAATCTGTCCCATTTTCTTTATCACATCTTGTGTAAGGTAAACGAGGATTAAAATAAATAATAACATTATAAAGTTTTAGTTCTTTATTAAAATATTTTCCGTGCCACATACATATATGACATAATTATAAAGCATGTATTTGTACCGAAGTAAACGGTCAAGAAACTCTTTGAATAGTCTACAATAACTATCACACACCCTGCATAGCAGCATCTGAAAAGAAAACCACTTCATTAGATTATACGCTAAACAAGGGGCAAAAGAAATCTAGATTCTAGGAAGAAATTGTTGAGGGTTTAGAATTTCTTAGTACCTAATCGCACAGGGTTTGAAATTCAGCTCGTTGTTGGTCAAAATGCTTAGTTGTAACCATCTAAATATTTGAAAATTCTCAGTAATAACTTGGGGTCTGGAAATATTTTTGCTGCAGCTAAATAACCATAGAAAACAATTCACTATTCGTCTCTTCGTTAAAAGAATATTTTTCTAGAAATAATGTCATACATAAGTACGTACCTGTAATGAAACTCCGTCTCTCCCTGGCGCCGCTTTTGTGGAAGGTTCTCGACGACATCTCGGTCGAGGCAGCCAAAACTGGAAAAATAAAATATAATACATAAGCACATATTTATTTAATTATACTTACGATAGGATCACCTAACATTGAACACGCAATTTATATATTCTTGACTTTCGGAGTCTGAGAAATATATTTTTAAATAGTCCGATATCACAGTTTATGTAATGTAGACACTTACCTAAAATTCTGGATGTTTTTACTTAATAATTACTTTTATTTCTTATGAAATTATGACACACGTCTGTACCGCGCGTGGTGTATGACGAGACTGGCTAGATGTGCGCGGTGCGGCGTCTGTACTGTAGGGATGTACAGTGTAGACACGGCAGTGTTGTCGATATACTGTCGATATTTTCTTGTCTTTTGTTTTAATATCATCTAAAAAGCAACATTAAATCAAATATTATATGATAAGTCTTTTTAATGCATGCGATTTGCTGTTTATCATTTACTACTTCTGTAAAAAATACTTATTTGTAAACTTTACATAGGAAAAAATATAATTTGTCAGTTCTTTGTGCAGAATCTATCGACATCATCTCTTCACTAAAGACGTGTCGAAGTAACTGGTCTGCACACACATATACTTGCGTCGCACACACACATACAGAACCCAGACAGATCGATAACTGATATATAGACAATGTATAATTATAGATTATGTACATTTGTTGGGGTACTACCCCTATGTACAACGAGTTCCTGTTTAGGGTTCCACCTGGTTTTAAAATTTTCAGTTTGTGAAATCTCATTTATTTCATCATCTTACTTCTCTCGAAGATATTAATTTCTGTCCCATTAGAAATACTTCGTGGTTCTGGAAAGAAACAATAAGAACAATTCAACTTTCCCTATTCATTTTGTATGAATAGAAATAAAAGGCTGTTCATAAGCAACCGTTTTACTTTGGACTTAAAGATACCCAGGTATATTGATAAGGGAACATAGATTCTAGTAAGTAATTTCACACTTTAGTGGTTTTTAAGAAGTTGATACCATACGCTTCGCACGAATCATGGGAATGGCATACCCAGCATAAAACTGTTTATTTACTAGCGCAAATGTGTGAGAAAGAGTGAAACTTTAAATGTATCTATGCCTTAGACGTCGTAGAGTAGAAAATATTGTGTTAGTGTATATTTAAATCTACGGAACACCAAATGTTCAGTCAATTCGCTCGCGACACTTTATTAAGCTTCGACTACCAGTAAGAGTCTGACACTCCCTCCCGCCTCACCCAGGCGGGAGCAGTCATTCGATGATTTTCCCCCTTTAAAAAAAAAAAAAAAGCTTCGACTACGCACGTAGCTACATGTTATGTAAATTATACATTGAAAAGAGTTCTACCATTTGTCGTGCACCGGCCTGTTGTGATGTACTGTTACATACAATTTGGTTGACACGATACAAAACTGGTTCTACTTCTGATTACACAGCTATATTTCTTACTACGTGTTGCTACGTACTGCGCTACGTGTTGCTACGTAATGTGCTACGCCGTAGCACTCATGTCTACGTTGCGCTAAGCATTATCTATTTCCATTTCATAGATGTCAGATTGCTACTAGTAGTTTAGTTGTTTATTTTAGTGAAACGCTTTTCAACTTCTGGAAGTCCTGTAAGCTGTACAGAGAACATTAAAAAATTAGTAGTACAGCGCCACCTAGTTTTGAACTTTGTAAATAATATGAGTCCTATCATCAAACCTGTTTCACTAATGATATTGTTACCATTGCTAGTGAGAAGTAAGGAGTCTAAAATCGAAAGTGCTGCCATCTGGGGAGAGCTAAACACAGAATAGATTCATAAATAGAAACATACACTCGAGTAGGTTTGTTGGTAATGTGTAATGGTATTGTAGTTTAACTTCTTGTGAAATATTATCTTGAATGCATAAGATTGATGTTACAACTCAAGGATCGAACCTGAGTCTTACATACTTCATTGGCAATTTCCAAAACCAAAGAAGCAACAAATAGAAGTATGTTGATTTCTTTATTACTTCTCCTGTGACGTAAAAGAGGTTTCAAATAAATAACAACATTATTTGATTTAATTGTTTTATTAAAATATTTTTGGTGCCACATACATTATACTCACATGACATATAATGTATGTATTTGTACCGAAGTAACCGTAAAGAAACTCTTTGAATAGTCTACAGTAACTATTCCCTACTCATGAAGGATACATTCAGCGCTGCAGCATCTGGAAGCAAATAAACTTAATTAGATTATAGCCAGAGAAAGAACTGACTGCCTCGTTGGCTGACTGGTCGTAAGTGCAACTGCCGGGCAAGGGGTCTCGGGTTCGATTCCCGGGTCGGGCAAAGTATTATTGGGTTTAAAAAAAAAATCTCAGTTGTAGTACAGAGTCTGGAAATGTGCCCGGTATATGGCAATAGGCTCACCCCCTATTTTATAGGACTCATATGTAACATAAATAGTGAAAAGTGAGTTTTACTTCTGTGTCCACCTCTTCCTACCCCTTCGGGGATAAAAGGCGTGATGTTATGTTAAAGAACTGTCGAGATTTTCAAGATTCTCAGTCATTCTTAGTAATATCAGACCCAATTGCCCCCCCCCCCTTGCATCTCCCCAATCCCCTGATAACACAACAATCCTCAATTTCCTAATCTCTAAAAGGCCGTATTATAATTGTAACGCCTCTGGTGTGTCAGGAGTCCATGGGCGGCGTTGATTGCAAACCATCAAGTGGACCGTCTGTCTGTTTATCGGGTTATCCCGAAAAAAACTATTGTAAAAAGCCTGAAACTAATGCTTGATCAATCATACAATGTCCTTGAGTAGTCAGCTGTCTTCTCTTCTCATAAAAAACACTATCATCATCATCATCAACATCATCAACAGCCTCTAAGTGTCCATTCTATAAGTGTCCACTACTGACCAATGGCCTTCTTTCACATGGAGAAGGTTTGATCATGAATCACCACATTTGCTCACGGCGCATTTAATATTATCTTGAAATTGAAGAGCCATATAAATACGTACCTTTATTGAAACTTTGCACCTCCATGATGCCTCTTTTGAAGTAGACGCTCGCAGTCATTCCGCCTTGTTCAGTTCAAAACTGAAAAAAAAACAAAATCAGTCGTTAGTCCTATAGACATAAGGTGTAATTTTAACTAGCACCAAACGAACATGCTTGGACTTCCAACCTATATTCCCATGTTCTTGGAGTTAGGATTATTTTTTCATTCTCACTGATATAGCTTATCAAACTGGTTTATAGATAACTACACTCACCTAATGTTCTTCACACCACAATTACTTCAATTTCTTGCAAAAATATGACACACGTCTGTACTGTTCGTCGCACATAACGAGACTGGCTAGAAGTGTGCGGTGCGGCGTCTGTACTGTAGGGATGTACAGTGTAGACGCGGCAGTGTTATCGATAAAATGTCGATGATATTATTTTGTACTATCTCTCATACATTTCTCATATAAAAATTTTTTCTTAAACTAAGCTTGTTGCAGAAATCGGCGTCTAATTAAAACATTCCTATTATTTAATTAACTAAATATCACGGGGTTGCTCACGTGAATATACTGAGCAAATGTAACCACTTTCGAGCCACGGAGAGGCTTGTCCTCATGAGCAGCGTGCGCGGTCGCAGCGATGTCGCGCAACTTACCATGTGACCCGCGATTTTTAGTTAATTAAGTATGTCCCACGATAGTTATTATAAAAATTATCTTTCCCTTATTTATATAAATGGGTGATACTGAATTTTTTTGGTTCACAATCTATCGATACGAATTGTCCTCCCTTCCCTAACTTTGGTGTGGGACGCTAATTTGCACACACATATACATTCGCAGCACTCACACATACATAAACCAGACAAATGATGATCGATAACTGTTGCAAAGTATATTATGTACTTTATAGCCACCCTTTTTAATAGGGGACCACTATCCATGTTAGGGATAAGTATTTCAATCAACCGGCTTTAAATCCTTAGGATTTCAATAGGATATACTTCAATGAGCACATTTTTTTTTTAAGGCATATGTCGTAAACGAGCGGAAGGATCACCTGATGGTAAGCAATTGGCGTCGCCCATGGACACCTGGAACACCAGAAGCGTTACAAGTGCGTTACCGGCCTTTTGGGGATTAGGAGTTTGAAGATTGTTGGGGATTTGGGGATTGGGGAGATTGGGGAAGGTGGGAGGGATCTGGGCCTCCGGTAACCTCACTCACACGACGAAACACAACGCAAGCGTTGTTTCACGTCGGTTTCCTGTGAGGCCGTAGTATCAATCTACTCGAGCCGGCCCATTCGTGCCGAAGCATGGCTATCCTATCCCACACTTATACATGTATCTGACCTGTTTTAAAAATATGTTGTTTCTGTCTGTCTATGTAGACCGGAGTTTACATTTCTTGAGTCTCGATTTGAAATAATCAATAAGTATCATGGATCATCATCTACCTACATCAACAACCTGTGAGAGGTCATTGCTGATTTATTGCTTACTCTACTATACAACTTTAACATAATATATACACTTGGTAAGCAGGTTGAAGAACACAGTTTCGTTTATCAAGTAACGCTCATTTATACGGTCTCTGGTAAATATCCCTGAAAGTCATCACACACCTAGCAGCACAGCTCCAACCCAGCATTTAACTTGTCATTTAAATATGAACTTTAAATTGTATGTCATATGATATTGCGACTGCACGATTGGTGCGATGGCTGAGCAACCGGCTGCTGTGTAACTCGTCGCGGAGTCGATTCCCTCGCGGAAAAACACTTCGTGTGATCCACAGATTGTTGTTTCGGGTCTGGATGTCATTGTGTACGTGAATTGGTCTGTTTGTCAACGCACCCACGACACAGAAGAAAATCCGAATGGGGGCAAGGGTTTTTTAAAAAAAAAATTTTTTTTTTAAATATTATAGATTATTTCTCCACGGACTCTAGGTCCGTGCCCTTGTCATACAGTTTTTTAATTATAATACATCTAGTCAATTTTTATAAAGTAAAGAGGGAACCTAGTTACACACTACAATTAACTACATCTATAATTATTACCAAAAGTATAGGTTACATAATAATTAGGCACTATTTATTTATTTCTATTTCAAAGGCTTTATGAAACCAGCCCACCAACAAGATGGGAGAGCCGACCTGACCCAGCAGAAGGCATCCGTTCACGAGTATGACGTGTGTGTCAGCAATTGATCCGGTCAACCTTTTTATTGGGAACGGAACAACCCAACACACAGCGCCACCGACTGTAGGACATTTATGTGTGCATGACGCCTCAACCCTTGCCACGTGGGCCGATTCCAATAAAGCGTACAATAGTCCAAAGTCAATTGGTTATATTCTATTTCTACATGTTTCTGCACACACATTTCCTCATGTTGCATTCGTTTCATCACAAGCAACACTCCCCGCCCAAGAGAGCATCCATGACTACCGCGTCCCTGTGTTTGATAGCCATTTTCAGATTGTAGTCCTTAATACCTTGCTCACCCTCATCAGCCGCCTTCCTGAAAAAAAATATTTCATAACGTCAAAATAGAAAAAACACTCGCGTTCGCCTCACAAGCTGCGCATTCGCCAGATGTGGACGCACCCTTATGACAACCCTGAGAATAATACTTTCTCACAATATGACGTCGGCTTGATATAAAGGTTATCTTAAAGATAAAGAGTAAGGTTAGATTAAAGAGTATCTTATATTAGTTTGTGTTAGTTCTTGTTGTGTGTCGTGCCGTAACAAATGGATTTTCTTTCCTTTTTTCTTTCTTTCTTTCTTTTTTTTCTGTTACGGTAAACATTAAATCAATATTGTTAGTTTATTGTAGTTTCCGACCATAACTAAAATTTTCGAACATAACTGAAGTTTCCGATTGTTGTCACATGTGGCGCTAGTGCATTCTGTCTGTTCTCTGTAATCTTTACCGGCTAATAAACGTATTGTTAAACTTTCATCTCGTTAATATTATTCAACACTTTCTTTCTTTCTTTCTTTCTTTCTTTCTTTATTTCTTTCTTTCTTTCTAGACATGGAACTTGTAACATAACTGGCATAAAATATAGGTACCATCGACTAATAAATCTAATAATAAATAAAACCGCAATTTGAAGATTTCAAAACAATATTTTAATTAAATAATAGGCACAGTTATGAACATTGTTTATTTACACAATAACAGACAACGTTGGGCAAAAGTCGCCAATTTTAAAAACTACCCAGCTCGACCGAATCCATCATACACTCCTTTTCATATACAAATGTAATAATAGTAATAATACATAATATTAAGGTGAATAAAAAAAATTATTCACAATAACAAAGGTCGGTTGATCTCACAAAGAGGTGAGAGACAAAGAAAAAATTACTTAGAAATTTTATTCAGGGTTAGTTTTCTGAGTAAATTATAAAACATTTTTATTAGTTTACATTGACATTACCATCTTTAATTACCTATATATGTCGGAAAACATTTCTCGCAACAACAATATTACCCTCATCTATAGATTTATTTATTTATTTACACTTTTTCTACAATAGGTATACAATGGCGGACTTAATGCCTAGAGGCATTCTCTGTCGCGGAGAACCTAATGGGTAACCGGGGCTCCGGCTCGAAGTGCAGGAGAAGGAACGGGGTGGTTTTTAGTCAGTAAGAGTCTGACACTCCCTCCCGCCGCACCCAGGCGGGAGCAGTCATTCGATGATTTTACCCCCTTAAAAAAAAGTGGCATTCTCTAACAGTCAACCTTAGGATCATGCAGAGAGACACAATAGTAGGTGTAAAAGTTTAATATTGTTGTGAGTGTTTGAACATAATTTGATATGTAAATATATCGTAATGCACAACGAACAGTAGACAAAAAGTATGGGACATATATATACTTAGATATAATATTAAGTATCATAGTTTCGAGGGTATCAAAATGAAAAATCTAATTAGTCCGTCAGTTAGATAATGAAAAAATATTAGACACGTATTTTTTTATTTTCTCATATTAAGTTGCAATACTTAGATAAAATGGCACTAAGTTTAGGAGTGGGAGGTCGTTACGTCATAACGTGCTACTAAATGTGGCACGCTGTGACGTCATACGATATTTCAAATTAATATATCGTCGAAAGTATTTAATTTTGTGAGAAAAGAAAAAATACGTGTCTAAAGTTTTAAATTAATGTAGCAGACGGACATTAAAATAAAATTTAGGAAACTACCCTATTATTTACGTTCAACAAAAGTTCGTACCACATACGGTACTGACACAACTCGTCGTACTTCTGGTGAGTTTGTTACAGTGACACGTAGTTGTCGAGATGGTGACAAGATATATATGACGCGACGACCTCGGAAGATGATTACCTTGTCATCTGCACACTTATATTCCACGAACGTTCGTAATTGATATGGTACTGGCACAACGCGTCTTGCTCTTGGCGAGTTCGTCACGGTGACTCGTAGTTCGTAAGATGGTGACAGAAGATGTATGATGCGTGGATCAGTTGATGATGAGAGGACAAAACGTTTCTTGTTCTGTGCTCGCATTTTGTGCCCTGGAAGTGATATTTAGTATAAGTACATATCAATAAATCAATCTCATCTTTCTTAAACCTAAGTTTAAAATAAAATATGAAATATATTGAACACACACAAATAATCATTTAATAATGTATGATATGATAGTTCTTAATCGGTGCTAAGAGCACCCGTCACGTAATTCGGATGTTCGTCACAGCCAACTCACGATATAAATAAACTACAAGGCGCGAAGGATATCCCACGAGATCATGGTGCCTCTTCATCATCGTGGTTCTCACGTTGTTCTCGTACAAAACCTGGAAATGAAATTCAATTTGGGTATAAATGGAAACAAGTCAACCTTCTGCAATCAGATTTTTAATAATAGATGTTTCATAAATGATTAATAGGCCAAAATTTATAGGAGAGACACATAGGTCTCCAAAGGGAGGTCCTCCAGGGTCGGTCTACTAAGTGGGCCCGGTGCCTCCTTCAGGGGGCTTACTCTTAAATCCAATTGCGATCGATCGACATTGGTATTGTAAAATTTCGTACTCTTGAGTTGCAACACTAGCGCCCATTGCATCCATTTTGCATGGATATGTAATGAACTAAATGTTATTGAGTTTTGCTTTATATTCCGTACTCTGAATGCTATTTCAACAGCTACGATAGGGGTTGTATAGTTTTGATATTGAATAATTATTGAGATTTTATTGGATTGAAATTGCATTGATATTGAGATTGGTTTCGAGAGTAAGCACCAAGGGGATGATGGCTACCGGGGAGGTTTTAGTTAGGTAAA